CTTTGGTTGCCAGTGGACCTGATAACAGGATGCCCACCTTACGAAGAGTTGCCTGAAAATGTACCAGAGTTCGTGAAAGTGTTATCTGAAAGGTTGGATGATATTCATCATCAAGTGCGTTCAAACTTAAAAATGTCTGCTGATTCCATGAAGCTATGTTATGATAAGAGATCTATTGAAGTCAGCTTTGTACCAGGAGACAAGGTGTGGTTGTATACTCCCAGGGAGACCAAAGGGAAGTATCCTAAGTTGTCTTCTTCATGGAAAGGCCCATATGACATAGTGGATCGTCTCTCAGACATGACTTTTCGAATAAAATGTGGTCGGCGAGGTAAGCCAAAGGCGGTGCATGCCAACAGGCTTTGGTGTTATCACAGTCCAGGACATTTCACTTGGGACGAAGTGAACAATGGAACAAATGACGTTGCTGAAGACGTGTCACCTGAAAAAGCCACTGTCGAAAAAAAAACTCTACCCGATTTTGAGAAGGAAACAGTGAAGTCGTTAATGAAGTTACTACCACTGATGTGACTGCTACCGATAATGGGACATTTCCTGATGGAGCAGATAAATCCCACGTGAGGCAGAAGCCAATAAGACATAGACCAGTATGAAAGAAGAAATGTCCTGTAAAATTAAGACATTATTGTTGTATTTTAATTTTGTGTTTATAAATTCTGTACATTTAATTAAGTTATTATTGGTTTAATGTAAGTGGCTATTGTTCGGGACGAACAATACTAAGGAAGGAGCAGTGTTACGACAGTGAAAGTCACCTGACCCTAGGAGCATGCGCGCTGGAGTTTCTCGAAGGATCATGAATTTGCCCGTCAACTCTAGTCTGATCGAGACACCCTCTTTTTTAGTATATAAGCCTGGCGAGAAAAAACAGCGTAATTGAAGAGAGATAGATAATTGAGTCAAGCGAACAGTTGGCACCGTAAGTAAAATGTGTGAATCACTGTGATTTATAGCGTGTGTTATAAAAGTTGTTAAGTGTATTACGAAGTTTGTATCGAGAAAGAATAAACTAGTTTTAATCAAGAAAGGACTTGTATCGCTGAAATTTCTCGGAAAGAATTTCTACGGGAAATTAACAAACAAGCAGATACTCAACGTTATCATAGCAATCACTATCACAGATTGCATCATATTGGGTAACATGATGTTTTTGCTATAAAAGTACGTGAAGTCTCAAATTTTTCATATAAAAACCCAGAAGTCTTCAGCAGTAATTAGTAGTAAATAAGATGCCGGAAAAATGTCGAAGTTCAGTAAAGTCTAGGGTTACGACAGAAGGACTTGTAGACAGACAGACAGACAGACAGTTTTCTGTTAAATATTTACAGTAAGACATTATGGTGACAAACTGTTCTGCAGATGTCTCAAATGTTTCACTCCAGTTAATTATCCCTCTTACGCACATTTCGTTGTGTAGGTGTAGCTCGCAGACTCCGAGTGCACTGTTTAGTCAAAATAATGAATGCAGATTAAAACTGAGTGTGTTTCTGTTGTAAACGACGTACAGGTTGTGATCTTAGGACTGCATTCAGGATCATTATAGAGAAGGCTTAACAGTATCAGATTTTCACTGTAGTTATTGTTTGGACACTTGCGATAAAAGCTACTCGAAGGTTATCTCCACTAGCTGTGCTACTCGATAATTATCTCCTCTAGCTGTGGTACTCGAGGGTTATCTCCTCTAGCTGTGGTACTCGAGGGTTATCTCCTCTAGCTGTGGTACTCGAGGGTTATCTCATCTAGCTGTGGTACTCAAGGGTTATTTCCACTAGCTGTGGTACTCGAGGATTATCTCCATTAGCTGTGGCACTCGAGAGTTATCTCCTCTAGCTGTGGTACTCAAGGGTTATCTCCACTAGCTGTGGTATTCGAGGGTTATCTCATCTAGCTGTGGTACTCAGGGGTTATCTCATCTAGCTGTGGTACTCGAGGGTTATCTCATCTAACTGTGGTACTCAAGGGTTATCTCCACTAGCTGTGGTACTCGAGTGTTATCTCATCTAGCTGTGGTACGCAAGGGTTATCTCCACTAGCTATGCTACTCGAGAATTATCTCCTCTAGCTGTGGTACTCGAGGGTTATCTCCACTAGCTGTGGTACTCGAGGGTTATCTCTTCTAGCTGTGGTACTCAAGGGTTATCTCTACTAGCTGTGGTACTCGAGGGTTATCTCAACTAGCTGTGGTACTCAAGAGTTATCTCCAGTAGCTGTGGTACTCGAGGGTTATCTCCTCTAGCTGTGCTACTCGAGGGTTATCTCCTCTAGCTGTGGTACTCAAGGGTTATCTTCTCTAGCTGTGGTACTCAAGGGTTATCTCATCTAGCTGTGGTACTCGAGGGTTATCTTCACTAGCTGTGGTACTCGAGGGTTACCTCCACTAGCTGTGGTACTCGAGGGTTATCTCCACTAGCTGTGGTACTCGAGGGTTATCTCCACTAGCTGTGGTACTCAAGGGTTATCTCCACTAGCTGTGGTACTCGAGGGTTATCTCCACTAGCTGTTCCTAATTTTCAAATGTTAGTGTCGATGTGTTCTTAAGCACTAATCTACACAATGGGCTATCTGTTCTCTGCCCACCACGAGTATCGACACTGTTGTTTCTGGTTTTACTTTTGTTGTTATAAATCGGAAATTGACAAAATTTTACCCACAAGGTATCTTTACAGTTCTGTTACACAAGACATGTTGTGTTCGAAAAACTACATATTTCCCGCTGTTTGTTTATTAACATTTTACTTTGTCTGTATCTCACTTAGCAAATGACCTTTTCAGTAGCAATGACTGGCAATGAACTGAGCGTGGCCTAGTGATTAACGTGACAGTCTATGGATTTTCGAGTCCATGTTTACGTCTCGCTAGCGCAAAAAATAATAATAAAAAAAATTATAACAATTTTGTTTCATGCTTTGGGGCCATGTGTGAAAATAAAATACTGTAGTTATAGTATTGAGGCTTTAGAGAAATATCTGAAAAACAATAAATTAGATGTTTAAAATACCCCAAAATTTCTTACCCTCGAACAGGGTGTCTATATAGTAACATGCTAACAAGATTTGTTTGTTATTATTAAGCACAAAGCTACACAAAAACGTTGTTAGTTAGAACTCCCGTTATAAAAATGTTATTAGTATGTTTGTTTTATCAACAAAAGTTGGACTGAAAAGGAAAGGACAATTGAAAGTGTCAACACTTGTTTTCGTAACAAAGTAAATAAGAACATTACATGAACCACATTGTACCTGCTATAGCCAGTGCCAACAAGACCGTTCGTCTAATACCAGATATCATGAGGCCGATTGAAGTACAACAGGCACAGGAGAAATTGAGTCACTATTTATATTATCACATTACCCGAACAACAACAACTGTTATGTTGTGAACTAGATTAAGTTGGTGAAGGGTAATTTTATATGAGTCCTTAGGGTAAAGATTATATTTTATATGAGTCCTTAGGGTAAAGATTATATTTTATTTGAGTCCTTGGGGTAAAGATTATATTTTATATGAGTCCTTAGGGTAAAGATCATATTTTATATGAGTCCTTAGGGTAAGGATTATATTTTATTTGAGTCCTTAGGGTAAGGATTATATTTTATATGAGTCCTTAGGGTAAATATTATATTTTATATGAGTCCTTAGGGTAAAGATTATATTTTATATGAGTCCTTAGGGTAAAGGTTATATTTTATATGAGTCCTTAGGGTAAAGGTTATATTTTATATGA